AAGACCTTTAAAAATTAGAAAAGGATCGATAGATAGATAGATATTTGTATAAGATAGATACATAGATAGATAAATAGGAACAGTCTGTGATAGATAGATAGATAGATAGATAGATAGATAGATAGATAGATAGAAAGAAACAGTCTGTGATAGATAGATAGATAGATATATAGATAGAGAACTGTAATAGATGCAAAAATGAAATCCTGAAATTGTAATGATGAAAAAGGCAGATCTTTATAGAGAACATAAATGCATAGAAAGACTTTTCTTGATGTCACTAAGCGAAAGAACTTTTAATGCATTATGAATCGGATAATCAAACTTCAGTGTATCTTTGTTAACATGCAAAGAATAAAATCGTAGTGAAAACGGTTTAATTAGTAATAGACTTTGTTATATCACATTAAAATTTAATAAATTATCACTGATTAGTAAATGAACTCACTGACCGGATTCAACAAAATGCATCAGGTTCTCATTGTCAAAAACATTTTTAGAATCAACCCTTTCCAAAATCTCAATTCATGGCTGCATTTCTCTTTTTTAGCAATTTTTGAATAAATTGAAGATACAGCGAATCAATGGCTTCATCTACCGCATGGAAATGTGGTTCTCTGTGTCGGGCCAGGAAAGTATTTCTCGCCTGAGTCTATCCTTCAAATCTATAAATCAACCATTTGCACTTGCATGAAATTACTTACCTTCATTCTATGTAGAAGAATAAATATTAAATAAGTTCCCTACCATATATAGCTTACTGCCAATATATGGTCTGCAGCCCCCACTGTTCGTCTCATATTATTCGACAAAATCCAGAGACGGTTATGCAATGTGGTTGGTCCTGGTCTGGCATCTCACCTACAGTAACTTTCTCACAGACGTGCCGTCGCCTCCCTCTGTCTTTTCTACAAGTACCTTCACGGCAACTGCTTCGATGAGCTCTTTTTGCTGATTCGCAAACTGCATGAATTTAAGCGTGTTACTAGGTTGGCATCTCAGTTCAACCCTTTCACTGTCGAAACTGTTAACTGTAGCCGTCTCTTCTACTCCAATAGCTTCATGTCTCGCACTTCCCGTCTGTGGAACTCCCTTCCTCTTACTTGCTTCCCTGGTAGTTTAGTAATCAAATATTCAAATGTAATGTCAATCGACATCTTCAGGTGCTTTGATCTAATTCCCCGTCCTTTTCTTTCTCTCCTCAATCACGACTCTTTCTCTTGCTCCCACTATTTGTATCACCTTGCGTGCTAGTAGCACTCTCGCCTTGCTTGGGGTGAAATGATTAAAAAATATTTATAGACAAAAATCAAGGACGCATCTCATTAAGTATTATATTAATATTTGTACTACGGTTTTCCATAAACAAAACACAAAGGCTGCTCCATTGTTTTCTCTAAATATCCCCATCTACAAGGCCCAAGAACCACTCAAGTTAGAACTTTAGCGAGTGAAGTCGTTGTATATACATAAGAATTGTTCTAGGACATTTCCGTTCTGGACAATTGCGTAACAGAAAATTGCGTCCCTAGACAAATGCGTCTCTGGATAATTGCATACGTCTGATAATTTTATGAAGCTTTTAAACGCAGTTGCCATAAATTTTTATAAAAGCATAGGTTAATCATAAATTTTTGTAAGAGAAATAAAATAAAAAAATAGACATTTATTTTTGTTTAAAATGCAGTGTTGCAAGAACGCTCGATACATCGCCAGTATGTTTTTGTTTCATCGGCATTTTTCTCATAATAGTGTAATTTTCCTTATCCACAAATATTTTCTCATTAGTGTTTGAATTACAGAACTGAGCCTTGGGTTGCCAAAAAAAATTTAATCTACAAAATCCAGACTCTATTTGTTGTGGTAGGATCCACCCAATTTGCATGGTGGAGTACCGACCATATACATATGGTTGGTACCGGGAAGAGAGGGAGGAATCAAGAGATTCACTCAGTCGAACTCTGCATTTTGCAGTGAGGGACCCGGACGAGGCTTTGCTGAGAGGCAGGGTTTCGTCTGGGGTGGTAGAGACAGGCCTTGAACCCGTCTAGGCGGGTTCAGAAAGGCCATATTTTTGGCCGAGCCTACGGGCTCGGAGATACCCACTTTAAACCGGCCTTGTGCCACATTTTATCCTCGTGGGTGGATAGATAAATACGGGAATCAAGAGATTCAACCAGAGACTCTGCCCGACTGCGATTCAGTCAACACATTCTCCAGGAACGGTCTTACCAGGAATATACAAAGACTATATGTAAATATTGTGTACACTTTCTTGTTTCAATACATTTTCTTCTAAGTACATTTTGTGTTGCATTATTATTCCATGCATTAGTCAAGTTTCAACACTATTAGATGTTTGTGGTACGCACTGCTGGAGTGAAGTTGAACTGCTAGCTTAATTTTCTCTGGCTTTAAAAAATAAATTTTTCTCTCTTTTTTTTATTTATGATAACTACCTTTCTGCTTGTGTCGAGTAATTAAAGCTATTGGTTTGCAA